GATCTACTATATTTTTACTGAAGTTAAAATTCAAGGTTTGAAGTCAGTAGGGATTAGAATACATCCCCTTTCCAAAAAATAAATGGAAACTTCCAAATAAATCAACAGTTAATATTAATCAAACACACTACTAAAGTGATAAATGTATAAAATGATAAACAGCTTATGCAGCATGCCATCTGTTCTCGTAGTTATGTGCAATGATGATATTTAACATTTAGAGCAAGAGCAAATATATATGACACATTTTTTAAAACCTCTCAGATTCTCTAATTGACGGTTTATAGCAGTTTTGTTTAAAAGGCACAGTTACAAAGCTGGTACCAAAAAGATTTCTATTATAAAAATAAAAAATATTGATAAGAGATCTGAAGAGTATTTGATTGAAGGAGTTTACGGAAATATTTGTTAGCAAAAGGACTGTGAAATCAGCAGAGCGGTACCTCATCTTTATCCTCCTTAGAACCTCAGTGGGTAAAACTGCAGCATGATTGTAGAGAAATGATAATAACACAAGGGTCACCAGTTTTCAAGGAAATAGGATTTCAGTGGCAGATTCTGTATTTCTCTTGCCCCTTTCTTCAATCTTTTATACCTACACCAAATGACTGCAGAACTTGGTGTTAAATAGTACCATAGTGGACCTCTAGCAGTTTGGCCTGGTAGTTTCAGTCTGACATTACTGTGCAACACTTTTTCAGGTATGAATCATGTGATGATACTGGGTCTGTGCTTCCCCTTTGGGTCTTGGCAGTGGAGAGCTGACTACTGCACCTCATTTAAGCTCTGTAAGCAAACTCAGGAAGGTTAGTTTTTATAATCAGTACAATATTTGAGACACCTATTTCACCTGCATCGAATCCTTTAACAATAGCATGTGTATGGTATTGATGTGATCACATTCTTTGAAATACTATTTGGTTTTTGTAATACTGAAGCCCCCAAATTATTTGGTTTTATTTGCCAAGTTTTTAGAAAGATGTTCCATAAAGAGTTAAACTAGTAAAGTCAGTCTTTAAACACTTATTTCTCTCTCTTTTCCTCTGCTTGAATAACTCAATTTCTGCGTGTTTTCTATGACATGTCCCTGCAAAACCTTAAGTCCCTCTTTTCCTTTCACGTTTCCCCAAAACTTGCCTTCATAGAAGCTTTCCCTTGTCTTTCAAAAACAGGCAAGAATTTAGAAATAGATTATATAGATGCCCCCATGTCCTTAAAAATAATTTGAAATGCAATCAGAGCTCTTTCAGGCAGAACTTATTTGGGGGGGCATGCACAAAATGTTCAAGGGTAAGAACATTTTTATATATGTTAGGATTTGCCATGTCTATGCCTCAGTGTGTTTTTTCCACCTTGCATACTCAGGGCACACAGGGATCCCCTCATGGCCCCAGAGCCCTGCGATCAGAGCAGATGTCTGCGCTCTCCAGCAACCTGTTGAGCCTTGAAAACACTTCAGCGCTGTGCAGTGGCATTCCACATCCCTCACACCTGGGCTTGTGCCTTCTTAAACCTCCAGAAGGGAGTCTGCGTGAGAGAACAGGCCTCTTGCACAAAGAGCTTTGAGCAGCAGGGATAAAGGGTTCTCTCCCCAGCATGGGCACTTCCTCGAGACATAACGCAGAACTGTGGAACGAACCACGGTCAAGGACAACTGACTACCATAAATTCCAGTATCTTCAATATCCAAGTCCATCATGCTGACTTTAAGTTATTGAGAACTAATACACAGCAATATTTAAAAGACCATGAGAATTCAAGTATAGAAAAATATGCGAAAAGAGTGTTTTCTAAGAAGAAAGTATCAAGCAATTAATCTTTTTCTGCATGAAACATCTCCCATATGCGATAGTCCTATATACAAACCATGATACATGACCACCCATGACATCCTTAACTCCACAGATTTCTCCTGAACTTTATGAAAAAAGATGCTCCTGTTTGGGTAAATCTACAGTCTTGCTAACATGGCAGACAAGTGCACAGGACTAACAACAGGCAGTTGATGGACAACAGTCTAGGAAAGGGAAGCAGTTTAGGAAAGGAAGGGATGCAGACAGAAGCCAAGTGGAAGGCAGAAGTAGTAGCTAAAGCAGGATGACAGGTAAGAGCACAGAGGTGGGAAAGCAGTGATCTTTGCAGCAAACACAGCCCAGATAATCCACTAAGCACGAAAGGGCTTAAATAGGATGCAGCAAGAGAGAGCCACAGTTAGATCCACACTGGTGCAGCTAGAGCTGTTAATGAGAGGTATAGAAAATCATAAATTGGTTACCTCGTTTTTAATCATCATATTCACACACCACTAAATGACCACTACACAGCCTGCAGGGCAATATAGTAACTAGTTTAGAAGCAAGATTACAGATAAAATTACTTTGACATTTGTTCAGGGCCTTCCTGAAGATTGGGCTTACATGTGCCCATGCAAAAGAGCTGTGTATTTGCACAGTTTTAAGAAATCAAAACAGGGCCTTATTTCTCATACAACATCACTCCACAGATAAGCTACAGCTGGATCTCCATTTTTTGCCACATCCCAGCCCTATGTAACAGACTTGTAACAGCCCCCTTGTAAACAGACTCTTTACAGGGTAAATACATGTGTTGGTTTTACACATACGGCATAGCTAGCACAGAAAAGAAAATATGTGGTTATTTGAAAACACGGATATTTTGGAAAACAAGGCTTTAAAGGTTCTCCTAGAGATGCAGGCATAGATTTTATGGATACCAGGCTGGGCTCCACAGAAGAGCTTGGTTCTGGAATATATAACCATGCAATGGGCTGTAAAATGAAGTAAGATAACCTGCACATTGTAGGATAGCAGATGCATGAGCTGGAACATATTCACCATAGCAGCCTTCCCGTAGGAAGGTGCAAAAGAAAAACACTACCAGGAAAAGGGACCTTTGCAGATTTTGTTCTATTAATAAAAAGGAAAGAATCTTAATTTCTTCAATGCATCATGTAGCAGCCTAATCCCTTCCATTATCTAAACGTTCTCTCAGTGAAAAACAGAGTCAAACATTTTGAACAGTAATTAAACAGACAAAACTCAATTGCTTTGCTCATGATGGCCACTGCATCGGTGCAGCGGTGAATACATTCACCTTGCAGCTGTCAATACACATTTTCTCAGAAGAAGCTTCTCAGAAGCTCTTCCCATCCCTCTGACTAACTGAAAATCCCCAAAACCTGTTACACATGCTTACAAACCTCTGCCTACACACTTTTAAAAAATCCACCATTTTTGTAAACGCTTAACACACGCTAACACAATTAGAATTTGTACCAGCAAAGTAAATAC